AGCAATTATGCTGAGTCAGGCTTGATTTTTAATAATCTTTTCCTGCTAAATAAATCAAATCAAATCAAATCAAATCAAACCAAAGATCACGTCATGATGACGCCAACAGGACTACATCATCTGCAAACAGTGGAATCCCGAGGCCATTGAACCAGACTCACTCCGCCCCCCTGGATGCACCGAGAATTTCTGTCCYTAAAAGTTACGAACAGATCMGAGGCAGCCCTGGAGGAGTCTGACACCCRGACAARGGWTTATAAAAAACWAAACAAAAAGACTYGATTTCTATGCTGTAGAAGARGTTTTGCTTCTTGTCTGGAGAGCTTTGTGTCATGCAATATTCTGGGTTTGTACAGAAAATAGATGCCTCTGTTGTGTAAAAAGGAGGCAATTAGCAGCAGGGCAGAGTATCAAGTGCTGCCCACAAATATGCCTGCTTTTTAATCAGTTTGGTAAGATCAGGTTATCTGAAAAATGGCAGAACTCAGTCTAATTACTTGGCCAACAGATCAACCGTTTCACTCCTAAAGAAAATCAAATGTTTGCAGCTTTTTTTAACCCCCTTCGAGCAGCAAAAACTAATGATTTTGTTACAGTACATAATGTAAAGCAGAAGCCAGAAATTGTCAAAGGAAAAGAAAAGCAAAGAAAACAAAGGAACAAGGAGGGAGATGGAAACAAACACTGAACCAAGAGACAAAACAAATAATCTGGATGGTTCCACGAGGCTCAGACTGGACACAATGGAGAGACTTGGCAGAAGCAACATGAGTGGAGCTTGTTAAACTCGAATTTAAAAAAAAAGAAAGAAAAGTGAAAAATCTCCATTATCTACCTGTGAGCCCCGCAGCCCTGTTTGATGGAACAAAGGTTCAGCATGATTGAGTAGAGCTCAGATTGTGTCGAGAGCCTCTCGACCAGAAAGGTCAAAGCTGGTAACAGGAGGGACAAGTTCATCATTCGCCTGTCAACAAACACCGAGGGACCACACCAGCCACCTCGGGGGTCTGGAGACGTTAATGGAACCACCAGGAGACTACCCACTCACACGCACACATGGATGCACAGAATCTCATCACGCCTGGCGTGGCAGGTTATTTATCACATCATCTCCGAGGGATAAGCGGAGTGTGTGGAAAACACTGGAAGTCTTACCCTCTGCTCCTGRGTGGCCACAAAGGTCTGGAAGCCAGGGGCCACGCCGAAGCCCAGCTCATGGACAAACGGAGGCTCCGCCTGGCTGTGGATCTGCACCCGCACACCCGCCTCAAACGCTGTGTCCTCTGCAGGGAAGACAAAAACATAAAGACAAAAATAAGGCCAGTTATTTTACCGAAACGTGACTTTTCGACGAACAGTTTGTTTATTTTAGAGGATAAGGAACAGATGCTGATTTTCATGCTGAAAACAACCTTTTAGCAATAACTTTTAGGACTTTAATCTTAAAGCTTTGAGCTTTTGAGATGGTTTGCGTGATAAAAAACACACACTCAGGAGTAAACCATTTGTTGTGACATCAAACACAGGTAGGGGAAAAGCTTGGTGCTGAATCCGCAAGATGAAAGGGCCTTTATCCTTTATTCAGAGCACCTTAACACACACACACACACACACACACACACACACACACACACACACACACACACACACAC